AGTGGCACATACGAGCATTTGTTGGGCGAGGGCTTGCATAGCATTATCTAAATTGCTTTAAATTTACTGTTTACTGGAATTTACTGTTCTCCCCAGTGATACCCTGGAAAAAAATCCAGGTATCAGCATTGACATAGGTAAAGACCATAAGCAGTTGAAGACAGGAGAGAGAACATTTGGGAAGCCCTGACAGGGCACTACCTGGTCCAACAGAATGAAACAAAGAAAAGAAAAATGTAAATGGGATGCTGGAGAGGTGCGGGAACAAACAAGACAGACCTGTTTCCTATGGGAGCTCTGCAAATGCTGTTCAGAACATGGGAAACAGCTCTGCCTTGCAAAGGAATCCACCGGTTGACCCAGCTCATCTAATTTCTGACTCCCTGAAATTTCATCAGAACAATACAGTGCATCTGGTTTTGACTCTTTCCAAGACTCTCTGCTCACACTGCCAATAAAATCCTATTAGGAACTGCAATCTCCCCAAACTGATTTCGAGACATGCTGATCACACCAGCTCCCCCCCAGCTTTCACTGGGTCTGTAGGTGCTCAGCAGGCCCCAAAGCCAGAAACATTTGTTCCCACCAGAACAGACATGGTCGACAGCACAGCAATGGGTGTGAGCATGCACTGTCCTCAGTTCAGCCATGCAGCATTCCAGATGTGAACAGGCATGTGCTATACTTACACAGTTTTTTTCTCCAAGCTTTGCAAATTTCCTTTAATGTTGTTGTATGCAGCTGATCGGGTCTTCAGGTCTGCTTCTATTTGAGTCACTTGCTAAAACAAAGTAAAAAAAGTGAGTCAACTCAGTGCTTGAGGTGCTGTCCTCACCCCCCTCCCGCCGCCTCTGCACCTTAATGCAAGGACCCAGCTGTCAGCCCCTCGTAAAACCACCTGACTGTGGGCAAGGGGGAGCCGGTGTCAGAGCTCCCCCGTGGCAAAGGCCTCTGCAGAAAGTCAGATTCAGTTAGCTGTTGCTGTCTGTGTCACAACTGTACCTAAGGAGCAAGTTCACGGTTTCATTTGTTATCTATATTGAACAACACATCACACCTTCCTCAATGGGCTGACAGTGTAAATAATTCATCCAGCCTGCAATGTGTTTGATTTACTGTCAGGCCAACAGTTTCACAAAAGAACTCCGAAATGGAGAATAATATGGCAGTATATAAAAGCAATAAAATACTACAATGAAGGGGATTAAAGTGCAGAAACCATGACAATATATTCTAGTACATTTGGTAAAGTGCCATATATTTACAGACTCTGTAGGTTTAAATACATGTATCATTATTATTACAGTAGAAATTAAAATAATATCGATGTTTCAGTGCAGAGTGTGTGCTTCTGAGCTCGTTCCTGCCCAAACCAAAGGCAAAGCTCTCACTGACTGCCATGAGAGGAAGAAACAAAAACTGCCAAAAAGACATGTTTCCCCATGCTGACATCTTCTTAAAATTCAGAGTACAATTTACCTTTGCTAATGCTTCTGATATATTCTTCAGTGGCTGCTTTATGGGATATTTGGCCATGTCCCATTCAAACCGTGTCAGGTAGCTAATTAGGTCAACTGAAACGCAGAGAGATGCATTAAAGCAGACGCTTACCAGATGGCAGATCAAAGTTTGGGTAGTAGTCTCCACTATAGCCTAGGTATAATTTTGATTAACATTAGCGATGGGTATGAACCAGAAGCCCACCTCAGAGAAATTCGATCTAGATCAAATCCGCACAGATCATATGCCCAATCTAATCATCTTTCTGCACATCCCCAAACTTAGAAATAGAACCAGAAATCTTTTCTGCATTACACCTAATAGTACAGAACAAGCATTACTGTAAAATTAGCTGTATCAGCAGGACACAGCAATGTGCAGCCATTCTTCTTTATAGCAGAAACAGCTTCACGTAACCTCAATCTTGATTACTGCAATATGCCTGAATTTAATCCCGGCAAGAGCTATCAGAAAAATACTTTGTGCCCAGGACCAGCAGTAATACTCAGGGAGAGTCTGATCCAAGATACTAAGAGCGTAGCTGACGTGACTTCTCTGTGATTCAGTCCAGTGCTCACTAGAAATCAAACAAATTCAGGTGCGATGGGGAATTTCTCACTGACTTTGCACAAAGAGCACCCCATCTCACACAAAGCCATGCAGTATTTCTCTAAATGGATAAATCCAGTCACAGCGTCCAACAACAGAAATTCACAGCAAAGCCCTGTGCATGCAACCCCCCAAAACGAGGCACCCTGGGACCACGGGAAGCCAAGACTTCTTCCCAGAATCAAGGGGAGATGACACGTATGGTACCCAGCTCCTAGAACAGGATCATGCTGTTTCACTCTGAAGACCAAGGCTCCTTAACATCAGAAAACATTAAGGCTTGGTACGTTATGGTACCAGATAAAAGAATTCTCCTCTAGCAGCTCAGGAAATCAGACAGCTCTTTGCCTAAGCTGAGTCCTGAGAGCCCTTAGGATACCAAGCATGCCCCTACATAGTGTTCTTCAGCAACTTTATGGGATGCGATAAGAAGTCACGCATCCTGCCACAACAAGCAGCGGGGCTGGGACTGCGCCCCTGCAGGTTAGGGAGGCTGGAGGAAGGCAGCAGGCAGGGTCTCGGTGCCTAGACAAAGCAGCCAGAGGCACTGTCACCTGCAGGGTGGGCTTTCTTCCAGACCAGGGGGGTAAACATGACAAAAATCTGGGAAGCTGCACTGGGGAGATGGGGAGCAAAACAAGCTCAAGGTGCCAAGTAAAAGCGGAGGCACACTGGGGCTGTTCAGTGCTCTTTGCTGCCTTGTCCAGAGAGTTCCTTCATTCCCAGAGCAAGGTTTGAGCGCAATTTCTTGTGGGCTAGACTTCCAGGGTGTGGGGAAAACTTTATGGACTGAGATGCATGAGAAGGAATGTGAGAAGTTGTGTAATTGCCATACTACCAGGCTGAGGGTACTCCCCTGTCTCGAGTGATACTGAATACCCTTGGCAGGAGAGCGCTATCCTTTCCATGGGCTTCTCTCACCCCACAACAGAGTCAGTTTACCCTATTAGATTTCCAAAGCATGGAAAGTCTTATGTTAGGAGGAAACAGGCTTCTTATCAATGGATAAACTGCCTCGGAGGCGGAGAGCACTGGCATGATGGTGTTCTCCCCCTCTTTGAAAACCACAGCTGTGTCAACCTCACCCACATTCAGTGGACAGGAGTCACGAGGCAAAGATCCAGCCCTTCCTGCTAAGGTCTGATCAGGAATCAGCAAATTCTCCTGCACAGGGAGCGTGTGGGAAGGGGGCAACACTGCAGAAGGCAGGGAGAGCTCCTGCCTGACACAGCTCCTGCCTGCGCAGTTCTCCAGCAGTGCTTGCTCATGGTCGCTGGGGAGAAGGCAGGGAGGTAAAAAATACTTGAGCGACAAAGTTCACGGAGCATTTTCAGCATGGAGTACGTGACACAAGGATTTCATCCTACTGCCTCTCTTCCAAGCTTTCTTGCTTAGACTTTCCTAAATTCAGTGGGAATGAAACGTGCAAAGAGCATGGTATTACTGGGCTGTGCAGAGGAACAGTGTATTCACAGGCTCTTTAAAGACAGACACTGACCTATTTAGAGCTGAGGAGATATGAAAGTTCGCTGAAGACCTACACATGCCCTTTCTATCCTCGCATTCCTTGAATCTCAGCAGAATTCAAATGTTAGGCAGTTAAGCACAGCATCAGTTCTCAGCCCATTTTACAAGTTCACTCCTGAGCAGTGCTCCGGCACTGGTGCAGTTTCGTTAAGCAGCCTGGTTTTGGGGATGGCACAAACTACTGTGAACACACTAGCAGAATGGAGCTCAAAATGCCAAGCAGTCCAAGCACCCTGATGCTCCTGGAATGGCACCCCTCATTTATGGAACCTGACAAGTCACTTCTGAAAGACTTCATATAGCTGCCCATCCAGGAGAGATGCTTCCTACCTACCCCAACGTGCTCGCAGCTGCCCAGGAACCCCACAGCCTGAATCTCTCCTAACTCTGATTTATTCACCCAGCTCTAAGAGGCAACGGTGAACACTTTCCCTTCAAAACATTTAATTCTTCAAAATTATTACGCTCCCCATTTTGCTTTGGTTTGAGCTCCTTAAAAAGAATGGAGTTATTCCACCACTTACCAAATTTTAAAATTCATATGGGCTTAACATTACTATAAATGGAAGAGGATTTGGTCCGAATCTTTGAAGAAAAGCTTTACTTACATTTCCCATTTTTTATTCTGTCACAAGCAAGAAAGCATTTCCTGCTGTTGTGATATACTAAAATTCCCTTTATTACACAAACACACGTTCTCCTTCTGTAAGAGAGATAACTCCATGTGGCTGCTTCCAACTATTGCCCACTGGAAAGTAGTGTGTGTCTTCACTTAACTAAAAGCACTGTATTTTCCAGTACTTTGCATTTTTCTTCACACAAATCTAACCAATTGTTAGACACACAGGCACTATCTTCATCAGTTCATGGACCAAACTGCTGTCAGGAACATATACAACTGAGATAAAAATCAGAAAACTTGCATAGCGTAACTTAAAATTTGAGTTGGGATGGTCTAATAGCCTGAAACAGGACCATGCAGCAAGAAGTCGTGTCTTATAATTTTGTTTCTGATTTCACGACCTCAAGGAAGTCTTCAACTTTAGGGCCCTTTTGCTAACCAGAAAGGGAAGGAAGAAGAATTCGTACGGCAAAGTTGCTGCTGCTTATGAAGAATGACACTGGAACATATTAGGGGTATCCTCATATACTAAAGCCGACTCAATTTTTTAAGATGCAGTCAATAATCTTGGAAAGGTGAATGTCCTAGTTTAATATGATTTGTTTGGATGACCAAATCCAGACAGAGGACAGAAATTAGTAACACATACAAGTAATTTCCACATCCTTCTATTACAACATGTGCAGGGCTGATAGGAAAGGAAAATGGTATAAAAAGAGGAAACAAAGGAAATAAGTGAAACCTGTTGTTTCTCAAGTCATAGGGATATCGTGATCAAGCTACGAGGTTGTTACTTGAGAAATCCATCGTAACCTGATCACTGTATCTCTACAACCAGACCAAGACTTGTCTCTAGCACTAATACACACAAACGCATGCTTGTAACAACACTGCAATCATCAGTCCCCAACATACTTTTGAGACATTTCATTTTATCCTTTAGCCCTGAAACACAGTAAGCAGGATTATTGTACTTGTCAAGCAGTTGCCAGTCTTATGTCACGCAAGGAGGACATTTCTAAAAGAACTTCCTCCCCATCCTTTACTCATACAGATCTGAAGTACAACATTGCAGACAAAGGGTGATGGAGTGTGCACTGTTAGTGTATTTAAAAGCGTAATTCTACAAGACTGTAATTAGCATTTTTTTTTACATTACATTACAAAAATGTAATTAGCATTTTCTTTTATAGCTGGGAAGGAATTTGCTCTGAAACACACAGAGGGTCTAACAAAACATGCAGAGTTCTAGGAGCCATCAGTTTCTAAATGTTAATTTGTCCTTGACACAGGCTCCCTTCAGGGCCTTGGGTATCATACTAGATAATAAAGGGGGAAATAAGTTCACGGAGGTTATAAAAACACCATATTGACTACTTAGAGATGCCGCAGGGGAGCATACAGTAAGGTAGTGGGCTCCCACGGCCCCCTGGCATGTCAGAAGTGCCCCTGCCATCACTGCCCGGTCTCCTTCTCTGCCACACAACTGCTGCCAGCCAGGGCAGGACACAACCGAAGGGCATTTCCCCTAACAGGAGTAGCACGTGCATGGCCAGCCGGCCCCTGGCACAACCTTGCGAGCACAGCCCCGGCGCCATGTTTTGGAGCTGTTGCCTCACACATCCACCTGTGATGTCAGAAATCCACAGTTAGCAACGTGATCTATCCCAGCACTGCAGGAGGGAACGCAAATCACTAACAGATCACTGACAGATGTCATGCAGCCATACAGAGTGAGATCTAGCTGCCTGTAAGAGATCAAGCCCATAAGGGGCACAGAAGGCTGCTAGGTCATTTTAGGAGTGAAGAAGGATGTCTCCTGCTTTCCTCTTCACTCCACAGCTCTGGTGTTAGAAACTAGTTCAGTACTAGACGCTGAACACTGCCCAGGAAGCAAAGCTGGTGCTGGATAAAGCTTCTGCTAACTTTGAGAAAAATGGGAGCAGGCTAGATGTGGTCTTAAAAAATGTTGCTGATGGTTGTCCTTTCTAATGTGTGTTTCAATTCTGTATGTTCATATTCTAAAGCAAACACAGACAGCATCAATGCATTAAAATATCCACATTCACAGCACCTACCTCCATTGGCCAGAAGATTTTCCTGGACTTTATCTTTTGAGTCTTCCATAACTTCTCCTATGTACTGGGCTATTTTCTTTATTATGCTTAGGTGTAACAAGAGAAGCTTTGTTAGTGAAGAAACAAAATGAATATAAAACAGTTGCCACAATGATCTGATAAACATGAAGATGCCCAAATGAAATGCTTCTGAAGCAAGGCAGGTTAATTTGAAATTCAAATGATGATAAACAACCTATGGCATATTGCAGAACTAAATGCCTTGTTTCTAAATACACTAATCTCCACAAACACATAGGTAATATCATCTCCCCAGTGCTCTAGACTTCCAGAAGATCAAGATTCCGTCTTCTGTACACTCATGATAGTCATAGCAGAAACCAGAAGGCAAGAAACCCATGTTTAAAACTCCAAAGGTGATGGGGGAACAAGAAGCTACATACAGACTAACACTGGCTGAAAATCTGTTCCATGGGATGCTAAATAAACCCTTAGGGCTTACTGAGATAAGGTTCTTACAAAGTACGCAGGGGAAAACGGCAATGTTCTCTTGTTTGACATGGAGAATTTCCTTCTTATTCCTCTTCTTTAGCGGACCCTTTCTCTCTCTTCTCTTTAGCATGGGGGACAAGATGCTCCTTTAAGGCGTGGGAGAACTAGATTCAAATCCTCCTTCTGCCCAATTCAGAGCAGTGAATTGAACAGAACCCCTCCTGGAGAACATTGTCTCCACACAGTTACTTATTTTCTGCTTATTTTAAAAAATGGATTCATCAAGTCCCTCCAGCAGTAGATGCTCCTGGTCCTAGTCAACGTACCTATCTCATGCAGGCCAAGAGCCTTTCTGGTTATTCTAGTATCCTTCTGTACTCAGAAGTATTCACAGAATTTGGCCTTCAGTTCCCTAACCATTCCAGGCTGACTACATCTTGTGAAAAGAGAGGGGAAAAAAAAAAAAAAAAAAAAAAAAAAAAAAAAAGCAATAGCTAAAAAGTAGCTGCCTGATCATGAAATTGGCAGAGATGTGAAGCGGACATAATCCTTGGCGTGGTGACATGCAGTGGAGCATAATGCCAGGCTTCTGCTCCCTTTCTTTCCTTACAGAGGGGAGAGTACTGCAGCTGCAGATGAGCTGGAGACTGAAAGGGCACCTGCAGAGTTTGGACAACGTGTCTTGTGACAGCCTGTGGCTGTCAACAGTCCAGGAAAGGGACTTCAGGCCAGGTACAGATACCATGAGAGCATCAGAGAAAAGGATTTTCTTTGATGTGCTGCAAAGCAGTTATACGGGCCATTTAAAAGCAGTAATTCACAGAGGTAAAGATTCCCTCTTTCCCCGTTCCTGTGAAGAAACTCACAGGCTTTGGAAAGGTTTTCCAGTCCTGTGATGGGGAGGAAAAATCTGAGATTGCTGATGCTGCCAAGAATGCTGTAGTCATAATTCCTGTTCCTGCTGTTTGGGGTCATTCAGCCTGGAGAAGAAAAGACCTTATTGCAGCCTTTCAATATATAAAGGGGGCTTATAAGAATCATAGAATTGTTAAGGTTGGAAAACACCTTTAAGATCATCAAGTCCAACCGTTAACCTAACACTGCCAAGTCCACCACTAAGAAGGATGGAGACTTTTTACCAGTGCCTATAGTGACAGGACAAGGGGCAACAGTTTTAAACTGAAAGAGGGTAGATTTAGATTGGACATAAGGAAGAAATTCTTTATGATGAAGGTGGTGAGGCACTGGAACAGGTTGCCCAGAGAGGTTGTGGATGTCCCATCCCTGGAAATGTTCAAGGTTAGGCTGGATGTGCCTCTTAGGGCTGCACAGTTTTGCACCATCTGGCTGCAGCCCCTTGGGGGCCCGGTGCCAGCTGAGTGTTGCTGGAGAACACCGCGTGTTGCCCACACTCGGGCTGTGGGGAGGGTGCAGGGACCCACAAAGCGGTTCCCCATCAGCTGCGACACTGCCAAGCACCTCTGCAATTTTCAGCTTGTAGACGCAGCTGGTTTTCAGCCCCTTCATGATGTCCAGGGAGCCCAAAGGAACTTGGAACAAGACAGGACTCCAGCCCAGTTGGCAAGAACAGTATAGCAGGAGGCTAAAGGCATAACGGAGAGAGCAGCCAAGAGGAAAGTGTATAAACCAGCAGCTTTCCCAAGGGCCTGAGCTGCTTTTGTTACTGTTGAGTGCAGCTGGGAGCTAACCTGATGGCTGGGAGAGTTAGCTCTGGTCTCTCTCCATAGGTATAGACGGTGGGACAGGTATGTGCTCTGGTGCACCCAACAGTCCTAGCTGCCCAGGCAGGGCTTGGGTCCCTTCCAGCCCACACACCCCAGGGTCCCTGCAGGCAGCAGGGCCAGAGCAATGTTCTCCAGTCCCAGCTTAGTCTCTGTGCCTTGCCGTGCATGCTGTGAAACGCAAGTGGGATTCAGTCATCCAATACATTCCCGTGCGAAGACAGAACACACACCCTGCACGCCACTGATGTCTCAGGCAAGCAAGAGGAATCAGACCCCCAGAGGAGCCCATCAACTATAGTGACATCCCACAGTGAGCAGCTTTCACATTCAGCCCTTAAACCTCTGCCTTTAGATGAGATGAATCCCACCGTGAGCAAATATCATGCTCAGATGATGCATTATAGAAGGAGAGGGTTTCAGCTAAACTGCCTCGAGAAGTAATAATAGAAACCTGTGAAGAGAATAACTCCATTTAGCCTAGTATTATGGCTTGGAAGACTCTCACATTTTGCTTCTGAAACTGCTGCAACTACTTTCAAAAAAAAAAAAAAAGTCTAACACTCTTTAAACGACACTGTGTATTAAAGGGTGCTGCCAGCTAGACCTTCAAAACACTGCAGGAAACAAAAGCCCCGCAATCTGAGGCCGCTGCAAAATGCTCCGCCGACCGAGGACTCAGGAGAACCCCCAGGTAAGAGTGACCGAGGGGATCATCAGCTTGAGAGAGCTCCACACTACCACACAGTGACATGGAAAAACACTCTGCCTCCCTGCGTAAATAAATAATAAAAGTATATGGAAACAATAGATCCTGCAAACTCCTGCCCCTTCTCTGCTGTCCTGGCAGGAGGCAGCGCTGACAGGTTTGCGCTGCCTGGCTTTACCGGCAGTTGTGTTTATCTAGCAACAGTTCA